ACTTTCGCTCTCTCCATTCCTCATATCAGAATATTTTTGACGTTCGTGCAGAGTTACCTCCCCGCACGGAGCTTTCCTACTTGATTTTATTTTTATGTAAGCATGGCGGGTATTACGCGCACCTCACGGAAAGAAATTGCTTACAGGGGAACTGTGGTGAGTTCTTATGCGTAAGTAATAGTTCTTTTTTGTATTATATTAATATTATTTAATTGATGAAATGGTGCTTGAGCTGTAGTTTTTAGAGATCGCGTAGTATCGTTGTAGAATTTTATGGAAGCGCACTGCAACCGGTGCAAGGGAAATTTTAACCCATTTAAACATGCCAAGAGAATCATTTAGCAAAAGTAATTTTAAATGTTAATTATTAACAGGGATAATATCAATTTTATTTTTATTTATTTATATATATTTGTTTATTTTTTATTTATCGAAAAACACATGAGGAATAAATAGATTCATATATACTATCAGTCTATAACTCCCATCGTCACACACTTACAGAGTATAGTCATGCATCATTTTCACCACTAAACACACAGCATTTTGAGTTGCACACTATATCTTAACTATCATAGACACTATGTAACACAATCACTCTAAACATATATTTATAACTTGCAGCCATACTAGCACTCCAGCATTGTTACATATACAAACAACATCAGCATCTGACATCAACGTCATCATATACAATCATCATCCTCGTCACACATTAGCATCATCACATACCATCAGCATCATTATGGTCACCTATCAACATTAGCATCATCACACTTCAGCAGCATTACACATCCGCATTATCACATACCAAATCAGCATCGTCACACCTCAACATCATCATATATACGAACATCAGCAGCATCACACAGCAGCATCACACATCCTCATTATCAGCTTCTTCACACACTTTAACTTCCATGCATAAGGATGCTGCAGATTCTTAGACACAGTCAACATCATTATCTTCATCATCAAGCACACATAGACATGCTAATTTCAGTAATTTCTCCATAAACTAGTATGGACTCATAATAAGTGAGCAACTGACAGCTGTCACTATATCACTATAAGATAAATGTTCCTAGATATAATGAAATAGACAAATAAAAAACAAAACATGTGATGATTTTTTTTTATAATTCTTTAAACAGCAGACAACTATTAGCTGTTAATAATAAATGTAAATCAATATCAGAAATACTGTCAGTTCTTACCATTGCTTGTGAAGTGATTGATTCTAAGGTGACCGATAAGGCCCATGGGCCTCTTGTTTCTAATCTTAAATTAATTTTTCAATGTATTTTTATGCACAATATGCGTACCTCAAGTGATTTTGCTTATTATTTTAGATTTATGATCTTTACATTTATTTACTTCTTTTTTTTGTTTGATATTTATGTATTTTATACATCCGTCAAATGACAGGACATATTATGGTATTCTCGTCTTCCATCCGTCCATCTTCCGTCCGTATGTCCCTCTGTTCGTAAACATTTCAATGTCCCAGCGATTTTGAAATTTATTAAGCCTTAACAGATTTCTTTTAACTTTCATTGCAAGCTTAAGTACAATCAAAGCTAGATTGAGTTTGATTTCCATGATTTTTGATCCACAACTTTTAGAGTTACGGCCCATTAATGTCTGTAACCTTTTCAATGTCGGTGCAATAACTTTGCAAAGTATTACGCAATTACCATTGAAACAAATGCAATATATTATATACAGCATAAATAGTGTAGGGATAGTCAGACAAAATCACAGGCGTATTTCGTGACCTGAAACAGGCTCTGGTTTTTTTTTTTTTTTTTCGTGTGACAAATTAAAATGATTGTTCAATATATGAATATTGTCATCATTCCATTATACCTTCATAGATCCCTATTAGGATAAACTGACGGGACAGAGCTTGTTTGTTACACTATCAGAATAATGTAAATCACTCATACTGGTGGAGGAATTACAGTGATTCTAGCATTAAGTTGTATGGTTGCCAATTTATTTGCAGATAAGTCAATACCATTATTACTATTGCAGCCATGGTCTTTTGATGGCGTCGTTAACTTCACCTTGTCAGAATATCCTAATGGGGCAATATTTTGTACATCATGTGAGAAAAAAAAGCATATTTACAAAATTAATAACCAGAAGTAGCAAAATCACAGGGACTTTTCGAAATTATTTTTATTATCTTAATTATCTAGACAAGCCATTGTGGCGACATATAAATATGCAAGTGTTTCTGACTTCGTTTTAAATAAAAAAATAGTTGTGGAGTGATGGCTTTTGATAATGGATATATGTATATCTAGTTTTGATATATGTTTTATTTGACAAGGAATGTCAATTTATTGTTGTTAATAAAGTTACTGTTTCAATTTTGTTGTCATTGGTCCGTTTTTCCTTGGCCCGGAACTATTTCTGAAGGCGTCTATTTGCATCAACACTGCATCGTCATGCCGGTAATTACGGGCTTAAAATAGATTTTCTGTTGACCAATTTCATTTGACAGATGGGATTAAATCCCTAATGCGTCATATCGAGCGTAATAGCTTATTGGATAAATATTTATAGCAACCTATATTGAACTTGGGGAAACCCGTTCGTCCGCCATGGTGTTTCACGTTGTAATAGCAGCAAGCTGCAAGATGAACTCGAGTAATTTTACGGATGTTTCCTTTGATTGCTTTTCATTATAACTACTGGAGCATGCATAAAACATCCTTGTGTCGTTGTCACGAAATGTAATAGATGTAGCAACAACCATTTGTACCTTAACTTTAATAAAAACATGCCAAATGTCGTATCTTTCTAATGGGAAGCCTGTTACGACGGAGATGTGAAGGGGACGTAACTCTTGGCGAACGACTACTATGTTCTGATATGGGAACATAAAAAATGTAAGGTACCGTGTGCGACATCTTGAGGACAAGACGAAAAAACTATTTGACCCATTGATGTACACCAAACGATTCTCGAGGTCACATTACGGTGTAATGTAATGGCTTTGAAGTTGGTTGTCGTTCTTTGTAATCTTCATGTTTTGTTTTCATGTAATCATTAAAATTACTTCGGTTGTGCTTGCTATTTTAGCATAAGGGTTCACAGAGCGAAAGTGAGCGTAACTCCTGGAGTATCGAGGGTTCCTTAATTCTAGCTGACTTTATCTTCGGTTAAAATTCCGTACCCGAAAATCAGTAGTCATATTTCACACACTTATCAAACCAAAGTCTAGGATTACTGTATGTAACAGTATTCTATATTTACGCATTGTGACGTCGATGTTGGGTAAACCGTCAGAGATACGCATTGTGACGTCGTTGTTTGGTAAACCGTCATAGATACACATTGTGACGTCGGTGTTGGGTAAACCGTCAGAAATACGCATTGTGACGTCGTTGTCGGGTTAACTGTCAGAGATACGCTTTGTGACGTCGGTGTCGGGTTAACCGTCAGAGATACGTATTTTGACGTCGTTGTCGGGTTAACTGTCAGAGATACGCATTGTGACGTCGGTGTCGGGTTAACCGTCAGAGATACGCATTGTGACGTCGGTATCGGGTTAACCGTCAGAGATACACATTGTGACGTCGGTGTCGGGTTAACCGTCAGAGATACGCATTGTGACGTCGGTGTCGGGTTAACTGTCAGAGATACGCATTGTGACGTCGGTGTCGGGTTAACCGTCAGAGATACGCATTGTGACGTCGGTGTCGGGTTAACTGTCAGAGATACGCATTGTGACGTCGGTGTCAGGTTAACTGTCAGAGATACGCATTGTGACGTCGGTGTCGGGTTAACTGTCAGAGATACGCTTTGTGACGTCGGTGTTGGGTAAACCGTCAGATCTCCCTTAATTTTCATATTCACTTCAATCATCGAAAACACTTGATGATATTTAAATATTCAAATTTCTGATTGCTATGGTAACGTCATTATTGATAAAACACGATTTTTATCAAAAGGTGTGTAATCCCATGTTTCTAAATATATATAGACATTGCTTATCAAAATAATAAACTTGAAGAGTGTGAAAATTCATGGTGAAGCAAAATGATACTTGTTCTTCAGTTTCATCAAAAATTCTTGGGAGTAGAGGAGTTAAACATAAGTTTGACGGATTTAACCGCAGTTCTATAGTTGAAGAGAACTTTCGACTTGATCGTGATTACCCATTTTTCAAAAATCTATTCACTGTCAGCTTTGATTAGGACCCTACTGTGAGGATAGTTTGAATCCAGTAGCCCCTAATTGTCCTAAATTGACCTTAATTAACCATAGGGTTTACCGTAATTGACCGTTGTGTGTCAGTAAGCACTAATGGTCAAATATGGTCAAATTGGACAACTGAAAAACTGTCACTACATTCACAGTATTAATAGGTAGAGTAAACTTGGGTCAACAAGCCAATTTACTCGATGTTCAACGTACCTTATCTATCCAACAGTTTAAACTCCTTTTTAAATTTCCTCTTTGATCAATTTTGAATCTATCTCGATCAGATATATACGCGAGGTAAGATTTGACTGTGGCTATATTTCAACTGTCCTAGGCGGCAGTGTGTCATGTTCTCATTACGTTTGTCCATGTTCAAATGTCTTTGAACACTACAGTTCCATTTTGAATAGAATATACATTATCATGGCCAAAATCTTGTGTAGGTGTACATATACATAATGAGGGCCAAATCGAAAGCATGAACAGAAAACGTGAGCATACATATCGTATTTTACGTAATGTTTAGTCGACATCCAACAGAGTGTAACACGTGTGTGTTAGATATATACTAGTGTATTAGACGTATTCTTGTATAAGACCGCGGTGTGTGCGTGTATGTGTGTGCTTCAGCTCCTGTGTAACACTTGTGTGTTAGATATATACTAGTGTATTAGACGCAATCTTGTATAAGACCGCGGTGTGTGCGTGTATGTGTGTGCTTCAGCTCCTGACTATATTTTACATTATAGCCGATCTAGGGCTTTTGTGTGTTTGGTTTGGCCGATACCCTTTGTGTATAGCAATGCAGTGTCGGTATACGGGACAAAATCCACGTGCTGGCACTGTGATAGGATAATTTTAGATTGTTCGTGAGAGGTCAACGCTTTCTGAGGTTGAAGCTACACTTTGTCGTGTCAAAGCTGTATTATTCAGCTCATCAGTGACATCAACATGTCGAAGAAAAGATATAGAGACGACAACTGTATCTCTGTGATTTCTAGATTCAAACAGGACCAGTTATATCGCCACAAGGTATCCACGTCTCTCGCCGTGTACGGAATTTTCGCTGTTATTGTAAGTGCCTATACGTAAGAATAGCTTTGTGTTTCAGCTTCTTTTACAAATTATTGACCAATTTTAAAAGGTTTTACAGATGGCAGTTAATTACAATAAAAAGCCGCTATGAATGTTTAAAATCTTCAGCGAATTAAAACTAGTCACGTGGGTTTAAATAGCTTTTATAACGGAAAAAATATCTGGACTTTTGTGTGAAATTAAATTTGATAATGAACATCAAAGGCAATTTTATTCCTTCAGTGGTTTAAAGATCTGTAATATAAAAAAGAATGACACATATTTAAGTTTGTGTTGGAAAAGTTCAATGATATTTCAGAATTAGAGATATAGGTTGAATAATGAGGATTATAGGAAATGATATGACATAACAGAATACATATATATAGGCTGAAAGGTTATCTATGTAAACATATTGTTTGTATGAAATGGCCTCCAATTGAGTATTGCTGTACTAAGATTGGCACGAGACTATAAAAAATGATACTTATCAAATATGACAGAGTGCAGTCGAAAGTGCAGTTGTTGGAGATAACCTACCAATCTAAAAAATTAGCCACGAGAGGTCACTGGTCCAGCAACAGCTTGACAAACTACAAGCTGTCAACCGATTCCTATATACCCCTATATTTCCTATATTTTGGTTCAAAAACCTATATTTTGAAAGACCTCATATATTTCCTATTATTTTGAAAAATATTCCAATATCTTTCAGGAAATTTGTCGCCGATAAATGAAGAGATTGTAAATATTTCTTTGATACTGCTTTTGGCTTCTTTATTTTACAGGTTAGATAATTCTTAGGTCTTTAACAGCATCACCAGCCACCAGAAAATGATTCAGTGCATATCTTTATCACCTGTATGGGCACCTTGCAAGGCAGTACAACAGGATATTGACCTTTTAGGTGTCCCTTCAGATGATGACGATGAGCTATGCAGCAGTTCTCTGCCTGGGTTGTGAATGGTGAAAATGAAACGATTTTCGTTTGGAAAACTTCTATATTTTGCCTCCAAACTAGCAAAAAAAACTCCTATATTTGTTTGAAGAAGGTCGACAGCCTGAGGCTATTGTATAACATTGTTCTGGTCTGTAGTTCAACAATACAGACCTCTATGTTATCATACAGACTTCACAGGTAATTCAACACGTTTATCAGAAATAAGATACACCCGGATCTGATCAAGGTGAATCAGCTTTATAGAGTTTTTTTCTACGCCTGTCTGATGTGTTTTAGATTTGAACGAACTGTTGATGTACATGGACGTTTTAAGGACGGTGGCTAACTATGGTTATCAGTTCGCTGTAGATTTTACAATGTATCTTATTTTGTTAAAAAGACATGCCTGTTGTATAGTGTCACTGACTACAGTATTACTTCACACCTTGGATAAAAGCCATTTCTGCGTGTTACACAGATGCACTTGACCGTCATTTAATAACATTGAAAATGACTTTAGCTGAAATATGAACAGTTAAAAACTCCGCCTCTATTTCGTGTCACACATTTTAGAATTATTGTATTCAATGTTGTTCTGTTGTTCTGGCCTTATAACTAAAAGGGCCGTTGTAATAACACCGTTCAATAAATATCATCTGTTAAAACTTTGTGAAACGTGATTCATTTTGCAACATTCTGAAAAAATATAATTCTTAAAAATATAATGTACGAAGATAACAGTTTGTATTTTGATTTCATGAAAATCATATTTAAAGAAAAATACCCATATCACGATTCTTTAAACAAACTTTTTTCTTCAAACATACAGTAAAACATCGAACATGCCCTACTGCTGGTCATCATACAGCTGTTTCGTCCTCTTAGGACTCGTCAGCAATGCTAGTGTCTAGTAACGAATTAAACTGCATCATACAACTGTTTCGTCCTCTTAGGACTCGTCAGCAATGCTAGTGTCTAGTAACGAATTAAAATGCATCATACAACTGTTTCGATCTCCTAGGACTCGTCAGCAATGCTAGTGTCTAGTAACGAATTAAAATGCATCATACAACTGTTTCGATCTCCTAGGACTCGTCAGCAAAGCTAGTTTCCATTAACGAATTAAACTTCATCATACAACTGTTTCGTTCTCCTAGGACTCGTCAGCAAAGATAGTTTCCATTAACGAATCAAAATGCATCATACAACTGTTTCGATCTCCTAGGACTCGTCAGCAAAGATAGTTTCCATTAACGAATTAAACTTCATCATACAGCTGTTTCGTTTTCCTTGGACTCGTCAGCAAAGATAGTTTCCATTAACGAATTAAACTTCATCATACAACTGTTTCGTCCTCTTAGGACTCGTCAGCAATGCTAGTGTCTAGTAACGAATCAAAATGCATCATACAACTGTTTCGATCTCCTAGGACTCGTCAGCAAAGCTAGTGTCTAGTAACGAATTAAAATGCATCATACAACTGTTTCGATCTCCTAGGACTCGTCAGCAATGCTAGTGTCTAGTAACGAATTAAAATGCATCATACAACTGTTTCGATCTCCTAGGACTCGTCAGCAAAGATAGTTTCCATTAACGAATTAAACTTCATCATACAACTGTTTCGTTCTCCTAGGACTCGTCAGCAAAGATAGTTTCCATTAACGAATTAAACTTCATCATACAGCTGTTTCGATCTCCTAGGACTCGTCAGCAAAGATAGTTTCCATTAACGAATTAAACTTCATCATACAGCTGTTTCGATCTCCTAGGACTCGTCAGCAAAGATAGTTTCCATTAACGAATTAAACTTCATCATACAGCTGTTTTGCCCTCCTGGGACTCGTCAGCAATGCTAGTAGTGTCCAGTAACTAATTAAACTGCATCATACAGCCGCTACATCCTTCCATCATCAGTGATGCTAGGGCCTCATTATGAGGTAAATAGCACCATACAAATATAGAAATATCTACAAAAAAGAGAGCAAATATAACGATTCCAAATTTAGTAGCTTTTTAGAATTGTGCAATGAGGCATCAAAGACCGTTTTTACACCTACTTACAGAACGGAGATACACAAGAATGAAATAAACTGCAACTTGCATCCTTCTAATAATCGTCAGAGGGCGACCTGAAAAAGATTTAAATTGGTCAAAAGAAATGTGAATTTGTACTAGAGAGCATCAGAATTATGTTTTTAAAGTTTTATTTGTTAAAATAAATGTTGAGTTATATGATAATAACACTCATGTCCTTATGAATTTTTACAGGGAGGTATAAAAGGCCAAATAGGCCCAGCATTCCTCGACCTTCAGATTATTAGCAATGTCGGACTGGACAAAGGGTCGTGGATAGTGACTAGTTTGTATATAGGGTATACACTGGGAGCCCTAACCAATGGTTTCCTGTACCATCGCTGTACCGGAAGTGTTCTGTTCGCAGTCAGCTCTCTGTGTCTGTCTGTCATCATAGCTTTCATACCTTGGTGCAGAGAGTACAGCGTCATGGTGACCTGTCATACAGCTATGGGTTTGGTCGTCGGACTCATCGACGCAGGTAAGTTGTGTAATACTGTAATCAATGTCACGGCTGTGGGTTTGGTCGTCGGCCTCATCGACGCAGGTAAGTTGTGTAATATTGTAATCAATGTCACGGCTGTGGGTTTGGTCGTCGGCCTCATCGACGCGGGTAAGTTGTGTATTTACTGTAATCAATATCACGGCTGTGGGTTTGGTCGTCGGCCTCATCGACGCGGGTAAGTTGTGTAATACTGTAATCAATGTCACGACTGTGAGTTTGATCGTCGGCCTCATCGACGCGTGTAAGTTGTGTAATACTGTTATTCAATTAAAACGTGATGTATAAGCATAATTGTGTCAATGGAATGAAAGTGAGTTAAGTATGCAAATCCTCCTACAAGAGGACAATTTATTGTTCATTGGCTGAACCCAGACCTCTTCAACACTGGCGGCATATATTGCTGAAAAAATAAAATTTAATGTTTTATCTTTAAACCCAGGGGCCCATAGGTCCTGTATCGCTCACCTGGATATTAAAAACCAGCAACAGTACACATGCCTATAGGTTGGGTATTTCAATTATTCCAAGTTAAAGCTCAATCACTTACCCCTTTTGATAAGGAAAGACCAATGGGTAAATTCTTATATCATTGCTGTTTTTTTCTTTTTATGCCCTGTAAAGGTTTATATGGGTAATGATTTGGTATCTCAGCTATGTCAAAATATGGCCCAGAATTGAACAGAATTTGTTTATTTCTTGATGCCAAGAAATTCTATATATATGGTTTGGGGATGAGGATCTCAACTGATTCAAAGATATTACCCAGAAACTAAGTCCCTTGAGGTGCCAATTTTACATCATGGTTGCGTTTATCTCTTGATGCTAGCAATGCTGTATATATGGTTATCGGGCGGGGACTTTAAAAGAATTTGCTCTATTTTCCCTATTTGGTCCCTCCCCTCCTGCCCAAGGGGGCCGAGACCCATCGTTCATACAAAATTGATTTCTGTTCATCCAAAGATGCTTCAGACCAAATTTGGGCAAAATCCAATCATTCCTATAGGAGGAGTAGAATTTTAAAGGACTTGCCAAATTTTCCCCTTTCGCGCTCCGCCCCTCAGGCCCAGGTGGACTGGGACACACCATATGCACAAATACAAATAAGACCCTTTCCCCAAATGATGTTTCTGACCAAATTTGGTCAAAATTCCGCCAGTCATTCATTCAGTGTCCTTGCGACGTGAGGGGGCGACCTGTATCGACCTCGGTGAAGTGATAATGTCTGTAGCGGTGATCGTTTGATTATACTAGTCTTTGTACACGGCTTCAGTGCCTAATAGTGCCCTATCCTAACTCAAGCAGTCGAAACATGTCTAGAAGCGGAAAGGAAGAGCTTGGGGGCCTGTCTAGATTTGGTTTGTGTTAGGGTTATCTTGAAGTCCTTCTAATGCCTTAGAAATAATTGTATAGTCTTAAACTATCCCTAGACCCCTGTACCGGCGTTATCACGCCTTTTTTTTCGTAAAACCACCGTTGTCACCTATGGGACATCTTTTTCTGGGTCAATCCAAGGATCATAATCCAATATGGCTGACATTCAAACGTTCGCTTCAAACGAAATGCTTTATTATATTTAGTCGCCTACCTGTCTTAATATTGTTTACATGTGTATATGAAATTATTTAGCTATAGACCGTGATATTACCGCAGCTTGCAGTTTATAAAGAACGCACATGTTTATATTTTCATCTTTCTAACATGTTACATATATAATGGCAGCCCCGATGTCCAATAACGTTACGGGTGCGCAAGCGTGAACACATTTGTATCGGTTAGACGATTGACAGGATCGGGTAGGATTATGTCTTTCTCGACCAAAATAAATGTGTAAGAAATGTATTTATTTATTCTTATTCTGTATTCGCCGTTAAAAGTAATTTGTGATGCTTCATGTTTGACCACTTCAAGTCAAACAAATTTACATAAACATCATTAAAACGATCCTTTTCTTCCTGTGTCATGTAAAATAATCGATTGTTTCCACATTATTGCAGAACTCACAATTCAGTGATCTGTGTTACATCATAATATCAATGTTTTATTTCAATTTTGCTTTGCCTAATCTTAATCTTATGATAGTTATGTCATCTGATTTATTGTGACCGTATAATTTTGTCTTTCTAATTGTTTTTCTATAATTTGTCTCATGTTGTTTAAATAACTCTGGTCTCTCCCAATTCCGTCCCATTTTTGAGTATTTTGTTTTTCTATCAAAGCATAATCTTCTTGGTAAGTTTTACATTGATGTCGTTTATGATTAAGCACTTTCTTTGTCAGTTTGTCAACTCTTTCGTTACCGTGATACCCTGTTCATCTAGTTGTTGGATACATAGATTCGAATCTAGCGTGACTGATCTCGAGGTATTTCCGGTGTCTATAGATGAAGTACTGGGAGACTATCTTTGAGGATGACTGCTCGGTTTGGCTTGATCTATCAATCTTAACGCAAACCCTATAGTTATGAGTTCGCTATAATAAACAGAGCAATTGTCCCACATTCTGATGGATATGTTTATTTTGTTGTCAGGGGAGAGAACTCCTAGACCTACTCTACCTGTTGTTGGAAGTTTTAGAACGAACACTATCGTAGGTAACAAAACCATTGTATTGTCTTCGATGGTTGCCATGGATATAACTTTGGCTCCTGTTGGGCTTCAGTTTTTTGTTGGCAGAGTTAAGGATTTTGTAGTTAATTATGAGTTTACTAAGAAGCCAAAGCGGTAAGGGGTTTTGAAACTTTTCGTCTGTTTGAATATTGTCTACATGAAACTCCTTCAGTAAATTAACTACCTGATTATCGTAAGCAGGTTTCTTACGTTGTTTTAAATCGCCCAATTCTGCTAATATACTAACGGACGGGCCATGTGAGCTTAAATGTGAAAAAAAGTAAATTTCATATTCTCTTTCATATCTGACCGTTTGACCTGTTAAGAATATCTCTCCCCCCCTCTCTCTCTCCCTCTCTCTCTCTCTCTCTCTCTCTCTCTCTCTCTCTCTCTCTCTCTCACAACAAATGGTGTATGGTGTAGTATGAGCGTGAGTGTGTTGATGGGTTTTGATGGGACAGAAGAAAGATGGCGATGATGGGAGTCATGATATGATGATGATGATGATGATGATGATGATGATGATGATGATGATGATGATGATGATGAATGATTTTAAGGTTTGAATGATCTAAAAATAGACAAAAGTAAACGAGACTCACCGTGTTGTTATCATACCTAATGCCATGACAAACATTGACTTTTGTGTTTTGTCGTTGTAGCTGGGAACGCAGAAATCATCCGACTTTGGAAAACAAAAAGTGAAGCTATCCTAGTAGGTCTACATGTGATATTTAACGCCGGTGGTGTCATCTCACCTGTCATTATTGCCCCGTTCCTAGTGAGAAATGTGACTGAGGAGATGACCACGTCGGTACCACGGCTGACTATTAAAACATTAAATCTCACTGTACCAAATTCCAATTTATCTCTTCTACAGAATTCCAGCTTCAGTACAACTCGCGGAGATGAAGAGTCCAGAATCTACATCCCCTACTCAATTTCCTCCGTCTTTTGTATTCTTCATTGTCTGTGTTTTATAATTTTGTACATAACTGAAAAACAAACAAAAAACATTGGTAACCAGACAAAGAACAATCAAGGAAACTACAGTGGTCTGTATTCTCTAAATAAGCAGGAGACCGACCGTCTAAATGGACAAGCCATCACAAACCAAGTCACAGTAATATACGCTGAAGAAACAGATAAAAATGTGACCCATGACCTTTCTAAGTATGACTTCCAGATACCAAGGTCACTTCAGTTGCTTGGCCTCGTTGTCATGGTTACCATAGCAGCCATGAGTAATGCTATTGATTTTTCTTTTTCTACTTACTTGTCGTCTTTCTGTGTCGAGTTCCTACACTGGAGTAAGTCCATGGGTTCGGTGATCACGTCCTTGTTGTTTATCATGGTAGTGGTAGGTGGCACACTTAGTATGTTATTTACTAAATGTATCAACAGTATTGTCTATATAGGTGTACAGGTGACTATGTTACTTACAGCTCTATTGCTGTTCTTACTCAGCGCCTTATTTCACTTAACCGCAGGGATTTGGCTATCAGCGCCTCTCTTTGGATTCGCGAAATCGGCCATTTTTCCTTTAGTGATAGCGTGGACAAACCAGACCTTCATTCGCGTGTCTGGTAGAATATCGTCCGTGTTCTTTGTTGGAGCTATGGGTAGTTGTTCTGTCAATTTGTTCATGCTGGCATCCATCATGGAAAGTATGGGGAAAATCTGGTTTTGTTATGTATTGACTATAGAAAGTATTGTGTTGATTATATTCTTCATTATAGCAGTGATCCTCTCACAATACGTCAAGCACAGGAGAAGACAACCAGTGACCAGTAAACAGACTGATGCTGAGTTGTAACCCTAATGACACATAAGCTAATTAAGGTTAATTAGACATAGGGGAAAATGAGGAGAAGACAGTACACACCAGGGAAGCTTCAAAGCAAAACGACATATTTCTATATCCTGTGGATTAGGCCAATGGAGTTTGGTTGCCTGAAATATATAACGCATATTTTTTTTCTCCACACTGATAAAACCTGGTGCTATCTTATTTAAAACCTTGTACACTTCATAAGCCGTCATCTTCTTCAGTCTATCTATAACATAACTGTTGTTTTTAAAAAATGTTTGAAAGTTTAAGTATGAATATTTTGAATAAAGCAAATGACTCTGTCCTGAAGGAGTTCGTTCGGCTTTTGATGAGATTTCAAAAATCCCAAACCAATATACATAAAAGTTTGATAGAATTTGTGACCATCTCCAAATCGCTGACATTAGAGAGACAAATTGCAAAGATAGCTGCTTATATGTCTTTTTATAATTTTTTCAAACTTCTAAAGATTTCGGTTTCGATAGTCCAGAAGTTGCCCCCTTATTGACTGTGTCTATAAGACTGCCAATGTTTATTCCACAACCAAACGTAATAACAGAGGGAACATCGGCTAGGATAGCAACAACGAAGGATGATATATGTACTAGATGGTATTTTATATTGTTTTACCTCTATTTGGAGGTAGGGTATCAAAGTTTATATCACACAATCTAGATGCTATCAGCTATGGATTCGATGTTATTGAATGAAAGTCTGAACTGGTGTAGGATTGTGGTCCGTAACTTTGGGCATTCCAGTCATTACGGAAGCCTATTACAACAAATGTTGATTGGTTAAAAATAGTTTTAAAGATAAAAGAATGTAACATAACCTGTCAGTCTAAGTAAGCATTTGATCGCATCATTAACCTCTTAATGTTACCAACATGCTACATCAAAGGTAAAGAATTTCAGCAGCTCTCGTCTGTTGGATGTCGGTATGATTATACTATTGAAACTCTAATGTACAGTAAACTACCTTGTTTTATTACCAAAGGGGATCAGGTCAGTCGATCTGTCTGTATTTTAAGTGAGTTCTTTGTCCTCTAAATCAACCAAGCAATAGAAATGTATCGTTATTGACCTTAAAACTACATCAGGGATGCAAAGCTTCTCGTGTAAATTATACTTAACACAGGTTGTCTCCCTTGCTCCGTACTCGGTGTCAAATGAAATATTAAGTGGTGTAGCAATTACAAGTTATGGTAAATATTTTTCCTCAGATCACGTGGTAACTATATCATCAACTGGAATTTACCTCTCTTTCTATCGGACCAAACCATAAAATACCCGCTATCACGAAAAACTTCAGTACTGGTGGTAAACAACTCGGTACGGACTGTAAAATCAACACGCAACATTGACTGTCAACATTAACACTTTGTACTGACTGTCAACATTAACACTCCACACTGACTGTAAACATTATCACTCCACATTGACTGTAAACATTGCACTCCACACTGACTGTAAACATTAACACTCAGTACTGACTGTCAACATTAACACTCCACACTGACTGTCAACATTAACACTCCACACTGACTGTAAACATTATCACTCCACATTGACTGTAAACATTGCACTCCACACTGACTGTAAACATTAACACTCAGTACTGACTGTCAACATTAACACTCCACACTGGCTGTCAACATTAACACTCCACACTGACAGTAAACATTACACTCCACTCTGACTGTAAACATTAACACTCAGTACTGACTGTGAACATTAACACTCACTACTGACTGTGAACATTAACACTCAGTACTGACTGTGAACATTAACACTCACTACTGACAGTAAACATTATCACTCAGTACTGACTGTAAACATTAACACTCCACACTGACTGTCAACATTAACACTCCACACTGACTGTAAACATTAATTCTCCACTCTGACTGTAAACATTAACACTCAGTACTGACTGTGAACATTAACACTCACTACTGACTGTGAACATTAACACTCAGTACTGACTGTAAACATTAACACTCAGTATTGACTGTAAACATTAACACTCAGTACTGACTGTAAACATTATCACTCCACACTGACTGTAAACATTAATTCTCCACACTGACTTTAAACATTAACACTCAGTACTGACTGTAAACATTAACACTCAGTACTGACTGTAAATATTAACACTCAGTACTGACTGCAGACAATAACACTCAGCACTGATTGGAAACATTATTCGTAACTTCGATTTGTAATCTAATCCGATCGGAGTGTGCAAAAGACAAAGAAATGAAAAGTGTTATTGCTGGATTTTCAACACAAGAATGGTTTTAAACACTTGTCTTCTGTAGACTTTACTCCTAAATCCCCTAAATCTATAACGGTGTCAGCAAGTTCATTCATAAAGACTTTGTCGTCAACGAAAAAAAAACCATTTGTATCTGTAAACCTATCTCGATGCAGCTTTCGAACGGAGTCGCCTCTCTGCCATCAGACAAATTACTTGTTTATATAGCTAAGAATCGGATAGTTTGCCGTTCATAATTTAAACGTTTCTATCAAAGTACTTACAAGGTTTTCAAGACTTTTGGGAACTGCAGAGTAGAAATATTGTTTGACTTGTTTTTGTATTATCAGAAATCATTTCTTTCCTGACTACGGCAATATAAGTCAGAACTTGTGTATAAAATACTAAATGATTGAACGAGAATGTACACCTATCAAGAGGTAGGCAACGTAACATACTCAGTTGGTTTTACAACCCGATTTCTATCTCAGCGATGTGTTAAATGTTTCACAGAAATAAATATTGTAGTACAGTATGTGTTGTGTTTTGGTGATGTTTACCAAATGTAGATGAAATACCTGTTTTCCATAACTTCAAATATCTTCTTCTCAGTACCTCAATACCCAGGTATGTTAGAATTAAATACTCGTCATGGATGAAAAACCTTCGGGTGCTTGGCCAAAATTGTAAATTTCATAACCACTGGATCTCGCATTTCCCCTGTAGAGTTGGTAAAGTTTAAAATTATTTATTTCGTAAAATTACGTGTGTGAGCATAAATAGTTTATTTTTTATTGGAAAAAGTTCAAACTTGGTTGAAATTATAAGAGTTAGATGAGGTTTAATGATGTGGACATATTGATCCTGGCTGATCCCCAAGGGCCAGTGGGCAGGGTCGAAACGGGTCAGATTTGCTCAAAGATCTTCTTAATACCCAGACATGAAAGAAACTTTAAAATACTTTTCATGGATGGTAGGGTTCGTATTTTAAAAAAATCATGTTTTGGTGTAATGTCTTTTATTCCATACATGGTTAGAAGACTTACAATGGGACGGCAGTTGTAATTTGCGTGATAATCTGTTTATCAAGCTAGTGATCCTCATAAAAAACATGACACATATAAGTTGTCATGAACCTTGTTTAATGTACCGATTTGAATTGTGAGTAGTATTAGTAGAGTTTACGGCTTGGAGTAATCTGTATAACAGTAGCTAAGCGAGTGTGTTAGCCAATAATCCCCTGCTTATAGTAAGTACTTTTGAAAGCAAGCCAAATATCAAAACCATTTAACCGTTAACAATGTGTCATATTTATATGTGACAAGTATCTGTGGTCTGAGTTATCAATAGTACTCATTCCATATGCAATGTATTCTTAGCGACACCATAACAAACAAGTGTTTTGCATAGCATATATTTTCGGAGAGATTCAAAGTAATCTCCGGATCGTGTTCCGGTACGGAATGACGACTATTACAGTGCAAAGGACGCTCCATTCATTAGTTAATATGTTATTTGAGCACGAGATATTACAGTGCAGAAAGTATTGGAAGGTATGAAAGAGACTCCGATAATCGGACAGATGATGTTTCATTTGAGCACGAGACATTACAGTACAGAAAGTATTGTAGATTATGAATTATGTTATTTGAGCGCAATAAATTAAACAAATGAAAGTTCATTTATGACACCTAGGTCAATCGGTTTAACAACAAAGCTTTGGGAATTTTTTTCTGTTAGTACACGGTCACATGACATCTTTGATACGGTCCTCGTACATGACAGTGTAAAAACCTTCACCGTGAATGTTACCTCTGTTTGTTTTAAGCATTACCTGGTAGTAAAACAAGGTACATAGCATTACCTGGTGTATTTAACTTAAGTGTCCGTTGTCAGTTCGATTAAATATCAAAATTTTATTTCACCTGAATGTTTATTCAGCAATATCAAATAAATGATGCGTGACGGTAATACTGAGTGGATGGTAAGCGACTTATAGTCTATAAAAGTAGGTATATTGGGTCCATATATAGGTTTCAGGTCCAATGTTTGAACTTGTTCTCAGTGTGGCAATCTTGCGTCTCATCTCTGTTTATCTGGCTGACTCAACGAATATCAATGTGCCAATATAAACCTAGCTGATTTGAATGATTTCAAATTATGGAAATGTATAAATCAGTATGCAGTGAGATGTTGGTGCAAGTTTTCAAGCACAATGCCAACAAAGAACAGTGATATAGTCTACCTATCAGTAATTTTGTAGATCGGAAAAGTATATTAGTCACGGACTGCAAAGCTGAAAAAGATTTCAAAAGGTTTGCGTAACATACATTCAAATAGCTTCAGTTTAACGCATAATATATTCTGAGCTTGAAATTACTTAACATAAATACTCAATCTTTTATTTAATTGATAGATTTCTATAACATTCCTCCTAGTATAACTAAATACCGGCGCTGTTTGTAAAGTCAGTATTGATTGGTTAGTATGTAAGAAGGTTAAAAAAATAGTCTGTTCAAGAAAGAAGGCAAATTTTAAGACTTCATTTATACAGGTTGATTACGGGGAAGTTTTACGGTCTTCATATTGATAACGTCGAGAAATATTCTGTTTATATATAATAGAAATTCTTATAACACAACCAGTAGAAGACTAGAGTGTGACGTTACAATTTAAAACGATTAATTCAATATTGAATTCAATATCCATTGTACCGGAGACTTAAAAACTATTTACACATTTACCTTAATACATTTGATGCCCAATTTACTAAAAAATATTATTTCTTAAATACTACAGCAATATATTTCTCTCGTATTGTAATAATGATTGTAATCTTTCTAAATAGTGGAAGAAGATGACTATGAATTATTCTTTATCAACATAATGACGATGACACCAAAGTAGGGATGTTCTTTCCGTGTACTTCGATTTTCGATTTTTTTTTCAGTCCTTTTAATCTTTAACCTCCAATATATTGAATATTAAATTAATAAATCCGTTACGTATTGCAAAAAAATATTTGCATTTCATGAATATAAAAACCTGTGCAAAAGTATATATTTAGTTGGCACAGTGGTAACACACTCGCCTTTCGTCTAGCCTTCCGGGGTTCGACTCCCGCGCGGACATGTAACAGCTTGAAAAGATATGGCTGACTACGTGGGTTTTCCCGGGTACTCCGGTTTCCATCTACAATAAGGCACCTCGCGCGCTAACATACGGGCCTACAAGAGCAATTTTTATCAGCTCAAGGTTTGTTGCGCAGATTTTGTAAATAGATAAAGGTAATATTAAAAATCTACATTGTTTATCTGTCATATTGACTTGATAAATTCTGATGATGTTTTCATACCTATATATGATCTATGATCTTGACTTGTAAAAATCTGATGATGTTTTCATGACAAGGGTTACACTCTGACATCGGTGTAATAAGATATAATGTACCGAGATATATAGGGGTAACTGTGTCAGTATATCAGACAAGGGTTACACTCTGACATCAGTGTAATACAATATAATGTACCGAGATATATGGGGTAACTGTGTCAGTAAATCAGACAAGGGTTACACTCTGACATCAGTGTAATACAATATAATGTACCGAGATATATAGGGGTAACTGTGTCAGTAAATCAGACAAGGGTTACACTCTGACATCAGTGTAATACAATATAATGTACTGGGATGTATAGGGTAAACTGTGTCAGTAAATCAGACAAGGGTTACACTCTGACATCAGTGTAATACAATATAATGTACCGAGATATATGGGGTAACTGTGTCAGTAAATCAGACAAGGGTGACACTCTGGCAGTGTTTAACTTTATAAGTGTTTCTACCTAGTTCTTCAGTACGAAAGCCTAATGGTGTCAAAGCAGAAAAATTAAAACGTGGAAACATGCAATAACGCGAAATAAACATGTGAATACGTAAATAAACTCGAAGTAACGTGTTTTTTTTACGTAATAACGCGAAAAAATGCGTTATAACGTGAATAAATACGTAATAATGCGAATAAACGCGTTATTACGCAAACTGAATACTCGTTATAACGCGAAAAAACACGTAATAACGTAGATTTAAAACTCGTAATAACGCGAAAAAACACGAAATAACGAAGATTTTAAACTCGTAATAACGCGAAAAAACACATAATAATGCAGAATTTTGAGTATTTAAACCGCGGACAATCGTTGAGACAGTATTTCGGAACAAACAACAATGAACGAAGAAGACTTTTACGAAATTCTCGAGTCGATATCCATGGCCGGGGCAGAGAAAATGCGGGACGAGAAGGTAAGCAACATTATATATGGGTAAAGATTATTAAAGTGTTAAGCGATCATCAACCTTAGAATTATGTATTTCATTAACATTTAAATCTGTATTTGATTAGTTAAAGATTCATGATTCTTGTTAGGTGTGTTCGTCAGGATAAATTTAAACGTGCAACGTCAGCTGTTGAGATTACGAGATTTACATACATTTGAAGGAATAACAGTATGCACTTTCTGTTACAAGTACATTGAACTATGAATATATCGTAGAGGAAAATGATAATTACAAGCACATTGGGTTCTATGCAATAAAGGTTTAGCAAAATGTTGCATCAAAACTTGAAGCTAAACAAATCACAAACCGTTTGGAAAGTTGTAATAAAAAAATTAGTATAGTTAGAGAGGGAGGTGGTAAATACGTAAATTGGCACTTTTGCTGTTTATTATTTTCAATGAATGAAAGCTTTTGGTTATAAGAATCCCTATATGATGTTAATTATGAACTTTTGAAGAGCTAAGGAGAAGGACCAGAAAATGTTTGATTCTATACTTACTCAAGCGATTGATGTAAATATCATTGGACATGATCTATTATTGGGAATCAAAATTGTACTGGTGATGTTCATTTGATATAGGGAAATCTTACATGCATGACCTTGAATGAGTTCCCAGTTGATACGCCGTGAAACGATGTTTGGCTGAAGTGCATGCCGATTGATCAAGTCAACTTTGATTTCCATTGTGACGTCACATACACAATGATGTCATTTCTCCACCAAAATGGTATCACAATTAGCTAGGTAATACTGTTACATATACAGAAAATAAGGAATTTGTATTTTCGCTGAAAACTGGGGTATAATCATATAATAAGTTTTGCACACAGTTTGTCTTTTGTTAAATCATTCACAGGGAAGCTGTTATTATAACCTATTTTTTTATCATTAGGTGTTCTTCTAATGACGTCACACGGTCAAAAGTCAAGTTTCTGAGTGAACAACAAATTTTGGCGTTGAAAAGAGAAAACTCTTGGTCCGATTTGCGTAAAATTTTTCACCGATGTTACTGTTTCAGGCTAACCACTGACTTCTACCCAACATGTCAAACCACTAAAGTTGACCTTTAAGTAAAGAAAAAATGGTCACCAACCAGTAGATTCAGACAGTTATCATTCAACTAAGGCAGTTAATAAAAACTCGCATGCCATTGCCCCACTTACTACCCACAATGAATTTGCACGACAATTTGACAT